TGCCAAATTTGGGCACAATTGGCCCAGCCGTTCTCGAGATCTGGAAGCGGCACCCTGCACGTGCGCACGTGCAAAATGGGTCCCAACTGACTTGTGCACGGCACCCTACTAACCGGTCCCTAACCGTGTACCAAATTTGAGCGCAATCGGTCCAGCCGTTCCCGAGATCTGGAAACGACCCCTGCACGTGCGCACGTGCAGCAGCACCCCAACTCTGGCACATGTATATGCAGTGCCTAGTGGGTGCCTACCTACATGCCAACTTTCAGCGCAATCGGCCAAGTAGTTACCGAGATATTGCAACAATTACAAAACTGACACCTCTTCGTTTTGCACGTGGCACGTGCATAAGGGGTCACCCACATGCATCGGGAATAGTCCAATACTTGGTAGAAGGAATGAAGCTACCCTACAAAAATTACCGCGTGTAAATCGGTCAAGTGGTTGCTGAGATATAAGCCTCGCAAAAGCGTGACCACGGCCGGCCGGCCGGCCGGCCGGCCGGCCGGCCGCTCATACTCAGAAATTTCCGTTAATCTAAGGAACCAGTATAGCGCCTTTTGGGGCGACTAACGGAGCGAGCGAGAGGGTGAGCCTTGCACGTGCGAAATTTCGAGGGGGTACCTCCAGCTGACTTGTGCACGGCACCCTACTAACCGGTCTCTAGCGATGTGCCAAATTTGAGCACAATCGGCCCAGCCGTTCTCGAGATCTGGAAGCGGCACCCTGCACGTGCGCACGTGCAAAATGGGTCCCAACTGACTTTTGCACGGCACCCTACTAACCGGTCCCTAACCATGTACCAAATTTGAGCGCCATCGGTCCAGCCGTTCTCGAGATCTGGAAACGACCCCTGCACGTGCGCACGTGCAGCAGCACCCCAACTCTGGCACATGGATATGCAGTGCCTAGTGGGTGCCTACCTACATGCCAACTTTCAGCGCAATCGGCCAAGTAGTTACCGAGATATTGCAACAATTACAAAAGTGACACCTCTTCGTTTTGCACGTGGCACGTGCATAAGGGGTCACCCACATGCATCGGGAATAGTCCAATACTTGGTAGAAGGAATGAAGCTACCCCACAAAAATTACCGCATGTAAATCGGTCGAGTGGTTGCTGAGATATAAGCCTCGCAAAAGCGTGACCACGGCCGGCCGCTCATACTCAGAAATTTCCGTTATTCTACGTAAAGGCTGAAACAGACTCTTTCCGCGTTCAGGAAATCGCATGCGAGAGCCTATTCAAATACATTAGTTTCCTCTCGCATCGATCGCACGCATCTCTCGCATTACCCGCATCAGGAAATCGTATCTCCCTGACAGTCTTCCCAGGCGCGGATCCAGGGGGGGGCGACGGGGGCGGCCGCCCCCCCCCCCCCGCCATCCGAAAAAGGCGCCCATATCCCGCGGCAGAGAGGGCGCCCCGAGCAGAAGAGCGGCGACACAGCAAAGGTTCAGCAGAAATAGGGCGCCTCCAGCAGAAGTTGGGCTCACCAAGCAGGAGAGTGACGCCTATTCCCAGCAGATGAGAGTCGCCCCAGCAGCAGATGGGCGCCCCCAGCAGAAGAGGGCGTCTCGTTACAAGAATATAAAATACCTTCTGTTCAAGAGGGGCGCCCCTGGCAGCGGAAGGGCACCCTTAGCAGGAGACGTGTCCCCCTGAAGAGGAGCGACGCCCCAGCAAAAGGAGAGAGGCGCCCCCATTCCGAGAAGAGGGGCGCCCTGACAGCAGCTGGGCGCCCCAGCAAAAAAGGAGCCCCATAATAAGAAAATGGGTGCCACTGGCAGAAGAGGGGCGCCCCAGCAGAAGAGAGGGGTCTCCAGTAGGAGACGGGCGCCCCAAGCAGAAGAGGGGCGCCCCAGCAGAAGAGAGGCGCCACAGCAAAAGTTAATCAGAAATAGGCAGCCTCCAGCAGAGGTTGGGCCCGCCAAACAGGATATGGGCGCCCCATTGACAATATCCGGCAGAAGACAGACGCCCCAGCAGCAGATGGGCGCCCCCGGTAGAAGAGGGGCGCCCCATTACAAAAAGAAAAGGAGTATATTCTATCAAGAGGGGCGCCCCTGACGACAGCGGAAGGGCAACCCCAGCAGAGGGGCGGTGCCCCAGTAAAAGGAGAGGTGTGCCCCGTTCCGAGCAGCAGAGGGTCGCCTCGCCCCAGAAAAAAAAAACAGGAGCCCATAAGAAGAAAAGGGGTGCCTCTGGCAGAAGAGAGACGTTCCCCGCAGCGGAAGGCCGCCCCCACAAGAGTGGCGTCTCCAGCAAAAGAGAAGTGCCCCCTGCAAGAGAGGGGCACCCCACCAAAAGTTGGGCAGAAGTGGGGCGCCTCCAGCAGAATTTGGGGTCGCCAAACAGGAGAGGGCCGCCCTATTCACAGTAGAAAAGACTCCTCAGCAGCAAAGGGGCGCCCTAACAGAAAAGGTGCACTCGTAGTAGAAGTGGGACGCATCAGGAAGAAGAGGGACACTTCTAGCAGAAGATGGGCGTCCCAGATAAGTGGGCCGCCTACAGCAAATTGGTCGTTCTTAGAAGGAAGAAATGAGGCGACTTAAGCAAAGTGGGTCTCTCCATAATGGATTCGGCGATCCAAGCAGAGGTTGGGCGCCCCCGGGAAGTGAGGCATACCAGCATAAGTGAGACGCTTCCAGAAAAAGGAGGGGGAGGGAGGGAGGACTGCACCAGTAAATGGAGGTCACCTTTTTGCTAATATCTTTTGCTAGGGTAGCGGTGCCCATCTACGACTTTTAACCCGTGCCGTGCTGGTGGTCTGAGCTTTCCGTGTCCTGCTGGGGAGGGGGGGGGGCACACTCCCTCGTCTAACTCGGCTCCTGGGCCGCGTAGTGACACGCGATAAGCGGCATTCGAAAGATCGTCAAAAAAACAGGACGAAAACAAAACGGTCATTTTTTAGGTCAGGTCGAATGTCAGGTCACCAGAGGTCATCAAAGGTAAAGTGTTGCCTGTTTCAACATTTTTCCGTTTTCGAAGCAGCGGCACATAGCTCGGAAACCAATAGAGCTATAGCGCCGCAGAAAAGCGCATTCGATAGCCCTTTTAAAGGTGTTTCTGCAAAAGCTGCGCTCAGATTTGACCTCAGGTCAACGGTTTAGCCTTCAGAGGGCAAAAAACTCTAAAAATAGCCTTTTTACGAACAATGTTTTCCTGCAATAACTTTTGACTCAAGAGAGTCTCGACATTACGTTTGCCAGCATTGCGTTTCTGTCGTCGAGACACGTCGAACAAACTAAAGGTTGACCTTATGAAGGGTAGTTTTAAGAATTTGACCTCAGGTCAAGGTCATGACCTGACCGGGAAAGGTCATGCTGCATAGCAGTCGATGCGTATCGTCGAGCTGAACACAGCTGAGGTGTTTTTATCGCTCTAGCTTGAATCTATCAAAAGTTATTAAAAAAAACTGCTGCGGACCTTTCATGACATGGGATGACCTCTGGGACATAATGAGTGGTCACACTAGCTGCAATGTTCTTATTCAGTGTGTTAACCCTCGCATGTGTAGGGGGGTCGGATGGACCCCCCCCCCATGGTTTTTCGCGAATAACTCGCGTAAAAAGCGGCCGATCGCGACGAAACTTTCAATACCCTCGCATTTCAATTTGACACCTACCCTGAAAATTTTATGACCCTGACCCAAATGACCTTTGACCTGTGACCTCTTTTCCGAGACCATGTTTGGCCGGAATCGCGATTCGGCGTACGTCGGCTCGCATTAGCCGCGCGTTTGCAAGCTTTTCGTGGTTTCAAACGTTCAAACATGTGATTTGATGTTGCTCCCATGCATTAGGGTGTGTGTCAAGGTCACCTGAAGGTCAGGTCAGGTCATTGACCTTTGGTGACCTCGGGTGACCTTGGGTGACCTCGGTTCACTTTTTCGAGTTTTACATGTTTCTAGGCTAGTTTTTGGAGCTGAATTCGAATTTAGCAACCATTTGAACATTTACGAAGTAGTTTTGGTGCCTTCGTAACATGTTACGAAGCTGTCAGAGGCGGTTGACACGTACAACGAATACCCGTCACGACGCCTACTGATTGACCTGACCTGACCTGACTTGACCTGGTCTAAATGCTTAAAGACATCATCTGTGATCAAAACTAACACGATTTTCGTGATCAGCACCCCGAAAAACCCCTTAGCAGCCACACTTTACGACTTTCTAATAGATCCCGATTTTCCCGACTTTGGGTCATTGACCTGACCTGGAAGGTCAACCAATGACCTAGGACCTTAAAATTTGGTATCATCGGCTTCCTCTCGTCACGGGCAACACGCTCGTTTTTTCCGCGAAGCTCTAGCTCGATCAGGGGCCAAACGGCAAGGGGGGGGGGGTCCAACCGACCCCCCCCCCCCTACACATTAGAAGCTGGAAAACGCCGCACACATGCGAGGGTTAATTTTATATGTATCCCAATGCTTGATATTGTCTAGAATGGCGCTCGTCCAAAAGAGATGCCTCTCAGTTTTCTCCCAAAGACTTAATTATACCTACCTACCTAATGGAGCCGTCGCACAACTGACCTGACCTTAGGTCACAGATATCGAAATTCCGAGATATACATTTCATGAATAGTGTTGCTTTCATCAATCGCTGAAAGGTTCAAAGCAATCGTTCAGTCGGTATAGCAATGGTAAGCATTTGAACTTTTTCTTAGGCTAGGTCACTTGGCATAACCTGGTGACCTGACCTTCCATCACCCGCGTCAGACATTTTTTACAACATGTGCAAAAAAGATGCATGATAAGGTATGCTGAAAATGGCGGCGCTGCGCGCAGCCGTTTTTCAGATATTTGCGAAAAAAACCTGAGGGGGAGCGCGATAACGCCCCCTAGCACGGCGCGGGCTTTTAGCTCCCGATTTTGACGGTTTGGCGCCCCCTTTGTATGGAGCGCCCCCGGATTGCCAGGTCGCCCCTATTTCGACTTGCCGCCCCCCCTCTCGAAAATTCCTGGATCCGCCCCTGAGTCTTCCCGCGTCGTCCTGACGCCTCGCTCGCATCGCCCGCATCACCCGCAAGCATCGCCCGCACCTCTCGCTCGCATCGCCCGCAGCGACATCTTTTCGGGATGCGAGAGAGTTGAAGTTCAGTCAACTTTTCCGTGCGGGCGATGCGATTTTGCAGAGGGCAGCACGTCCGCCATCTTGGAATGTAAACAAAGACCTATGTATATGCGGCAGTTGTTGTCAAGGTTGTTGTGGAGTTGTAGACATTTACTAACCTATGTGACATTGTTATAAGTTTATTGTTATTACATTTCATATTTTATCGTAACAGAAATATATCTTTTTTTACTGTGGTGGACTACTTGAAGCGGATCCGAGGACAAGGGCGGGCGACGAAATGAAGTGAGTATCACAATCAAGTGTCAGTGATTATCAAGTCTAATCAAATCATGTTTTGCTATCCTGATTTACTAGCACCTACTGAAAGAATAGACGTTGATTGCTTAATATGTGGATTGATTGTACCGAATCAGAATTGCATTTATTCAATGTACCTATGTTTACATGGCTAGATACCCATGTTTTGTGTGCTGTATAAAAAAAGTTTACACCTTCCCCAGACATAAAATTTGGCGTTTCACAGACATCCTAAAGAACCTCAGTGTAGAAAATATGCAGGCTGAGCATATCTTGTATGTTTTACCAGGGGCGGATCCAGGAAAACTCCAAGGGGAGGGTCATGAATCGAAGTGGTGCCCCTACCTATACCCAAAATTAAAAACTCAACGGATTTCGTCCACTTCATTTTGGTGGTGCCCCCATTTTCGGTTTTTTATTTTTATTTTTTTATTTTTAGTCAGTATCTTACCTCTTAGCCACAACCACATTTACCAATTGTAAGCAAGTATATATGAATGTGCTATGTGTATATATGTTGTGGACGCTGAGTAATGAGTACTTACCAGGAACGTTATCAGGTAAGCAAATCGTTGTCAGTCCGACGAACTTGACCCTGGCGTCTAAAGGGTCTGTCCTTGACACTTCAGGCTTGTCAGGGGCACCAAAGTCCTTCCAGGGACACCACAAACCTGTCAGGGGCACCTACGGCCTTGTAGGGGCGCCACAGGCCCGCCAGGGGCACCACAGGCCTGCCAGGAAGCAGGGGCACCACATGCACAGGTCTAGCAAGTATACATGACAGGCCTGTCAGGGGCACAACGGGCCTGTTGGGCCCATGAGCACCCCTAGGGGCAGGGGCACCACAGTCCTTCCAGGGGCACCGCAGGCCTGTGAGGGGCACCAGCGGCCTAGCAGGGGCACCAGTCAACACAGGCCTGCCAGGGGCACCACAGACCTGCCAGGGGCACCAGAGGCCTGCCAGGAGCACCACCGACCTCGCAGGGGTAACTTGGGCCTGTCAGGGCCCAGGGGCACCACGGGCCTGTCGAGAGGCACTTCAGGCTTTTCAGGGGCACCATAGTCCTCTCAGGGCGCAGGGGTAGCAGGGGCACCAGAGGCCTGCCAGGGGCACTACAGGCCTAGCAAGGGCACCACTGGTCTATCAGGGGCACCACGAGCCTGTCATAGCCAGGCATCTCAGGCTTGTCAAGGCCCAGGGGCACCAGCGACCTAGCAGGGGCACCAGTCAACACAGGTCTGCCAGGGGCGCCACAGACCTGCCAGGGGCACCACAGACCTGCCAGGGGCACCAGAGGCCTGCCAGGGGCACCACCGGCCTCGCAGGGGCACCTTGGGCCTGTCAGGGGCACGACGGGCCTGCCGAGGGGCACTTCAGACTCTTCAGGGGCACCAGTCCTCTCCGGGCGCAGGGGCACCAGAGGCCTGCCAGGGGCACCAGCGGCCTAGCAAGGGCACCAGAGGCCTGCCAGGGGCACCACAGGCCTAACAAGGGCACCACGGGCCTGTCAGGGGCACCTCAGGCTTGTCAGGGCCCAGGGACACCACAGTCCTTCCAAGGGCACCGCAAGCCTGTCAGGGGCACCAGAGGCCTGCCAGGGGCACCACAGGCCTAGCAAGGGCACCTCTGGCCTGTCAGGGGCACCTCAGGCTTGTCAGGGCCCAGGGGCACCACAGTCCTTCCAGGGGCATTACAAGCCTGTCAGGGGCACCACAGGCCTGCCATGGACACCACAGGCCTGCCAGGGGCACCACCGGCCTTGCAGGGGCGCCTCAGGCCTGTCAGGGGCACCACGTGCCTGCCTGGGACACTTCAGGCTTGTCAGGGGCGTTACAGTCCTGTCAGGGCCCAGGGGCACCAGGCCCGTGGTGTCCCTGCTAGGCCTGTGGTGCCCCTGGCGGTCCTGTGGTGCCCCTGTCAGGACTGTGATACCCCTGATAGGCCGGTGGTGCCCCTGGAAGGTCTTTGGGCCCCCGGGCCTCAAGGGGGGGGGCCATGACCCATGTGACCCCCCCCTTGGATCCGCCCCTGTGTTTTACTATGTCATTGATTATTATGTCGTCAGCTCGCTACTTTGCTACCAAATGCAGGTCAGGCATCAGCCTCTTTTGCTATGAACATCAAATTCCAAATGCCAGATCCTAAGTCCAAGGTCTGTTTAGTGCATTGCAAGTTGTGCTTCTTTTTGGTGCTGGGGGCTTTTAATGCCCCCCCCCCCCCAGGAAACGGCGGGTGGTGAAATACCCTAGCAACTACCGTCTACCGAGCTAGGTGAACTGAAAAGGTTATAAAAAAACTTCAGTATACTGACTTTCAGCGCTAGCTGAAACACTACCTTGTTTATTTACGTTATGAAAAAGGATCTTGCCTAGCAAGGCATGGATAACTGGTTTTGTAATGAATGAACTTTGTTATGCCTATTCCTACTTGTGCCTTTTCATGTTTTTTTTTTCAAAATTAGGTAATTGGTGCTTCCTCCTTTCCATGCTCTTTCCCTTTCGCAGAATTTTTGGCTGATGGTTGTTCACTGTTGTACCTATAACTAAAGTACGCTTGTGTTTCCAGTCCTGAGGACATAGCGCTCGCAGAGCAGGTGCAGCGGCGGATCGCTTTATGGGACATACGAGACAAAGGCTATCGTCTAAAGCCCATCCAAAAGCAACACCTGTGGGCTGAAATAGCAGAAGAGCTGCACAAGGATGGTATGTAACACATGCGTATTTTTTCTGTTGGGGGGGGAGGGGAGAGAGGGCGGAGAAGGGGGTAACATAAGATAAGGTCACCAGGGCAAGCTGGATATCTATAGTTCTTAGTCTCCGAGATTACTCGGTATGAGGCCAGATATCCCTGCCCCCCCCCCCCCCCCACACACACACACACCTAGTAATCATGGCCGAAGTTGGCTGAGACATCCATCAGTGCGCGGGTTGAATAACCCGCTAAAATGTGAGAAATATTATTTATTACGATGAGTGTCACAATCACATTTCAAAAATGCTTATGTCGACACGCTTCTGAAGTCGATTGATTATTTGCCTTATTGTATTGTAGGTATTGGTTACCGCCCTTGACCTCTCTGACAACAGTTTAAAGTGGCAATCTCATTTGGCATTAACTTGTTGTTTCAGAGCAAGAGTTAAAGAGGCGATGGCGCAACATCCGCGATTATTATCGCTCGCTGCGCCACAGCCGAGCGGCACCCAGCGGCAGCGCTGCGCTTCCACCGCTGACTACGCTCCAACTGGGGTACATGAGGTACCTGAGCTTCCTCAATCCAGTGCTGGAGGCTAAAACGTAAGTATATCTGTTTGGCTTTGTTCCCTCAATTTGTATATCCACTGCATTAATTTGTATCGTTAACCCGCGCTGGGCCGGGAAGGGGGTGTATCGGTTACCCCCCCCCCCTACCAAACTCGGCTCCTAAGCCACGTAGCGACACGCGGTGAACAGTGTTTGAAAGAACGTCAAAAATCATAACATAAGCACTGGTTATTTTTTGGTCAGATTAACCTGCGCCCTGGTGGGGTCTGTTTATAACGCGACGTGGTGGTGGTGGGGGGGGGGGGGCTATTTTTTGCCCCCCCCCCCCTCGTATCTCTGAAACTACTGGACGGATCCGCAAAAATCAAACGGCGTTCGAAAGCCCTATCAAATTTGTCGAAGGAACTCCAATTTCATTGACCTCGGGGGCACCTCATCAAAAGTAGTCTATTACGGGGTAGAAGGGATGCATGGGCTACCCAGCAAAAAAGACCGCAGGCCAATCGGTCCAGCGGTTGCTGAGATATAAGCCTCTCAAAAGCGTTACAGGCCGGGCCGGCCGGGCCGGGCCGCTCATACTGAGATTTTTCCGTTATATTGAAAAGACTTCGCTTCGCTCGCTGCGCTCGCTCGCTCGTAATTATCGCTCTAGCATGTCTATCAAGTTATTTGCACATAACTGCTCGGAACATTTCATTACCTGAGATGGCCTCAGGAACATAAGAAGGGTCAGGGGTGCAGTTTTTTCAGTTCAGTCAGCGTGTCAAGTGTACTTGTACAGTCTGTCTTAAAAGTACCGCGCAAAGTGACGGTGGATCCATCAAGCCTGACCGAGGAAGGGCCTGCTATAATTTGAAAGTCACCGAACCAATGGAGCTGGGGAATGGACGAGGATGTCCATTGCTTCGGTGACTCAAATTTGGCAGTCCTTCATCGGTCAGGCTTGATGGATCCACCGTCACTTTGCGCGGTACTTTTAAGACAGACTGTACACCGATATGAAACGAGCGCTATGATCCATTATTGCCATTTCTTAAAATTCTACACAAGCGTGATGCCAGCCTCCCCCTGCTCCCCCAGCGGTTACGGATATGATGTTTTTACCTATGATAGCACTACGATTCCTGCACGGTATAGCTGGTCGGAGTGTTCACGACTGTTATATCGATAAATCAGCGATTCATCTGCAGGGACACTTATCGTCTGAGAAAGCTGGTAGGTTATCCTTCTTTAGTTGACGCATCTGTTCTCTGTTGCAGTACGTGCACCAGCCTGCAGCAGCCCGGCGCTACACCGCTGACGCCAGACGAGTCCGCGGCGACGGCCGGGAACTCCTTCGATAGCATTTTCGAATCGGAGCTCCAGACCAACGACTCAACCGGCGACGGTCTGCCGCCCACAGCGGACGACCCAGACAACGTCACCCAGGTAGGCGCCCCTTCTGACGCGCCGCGCCGGAAGGCACGACAGCCGCTGAAGAAGAGGCGGATTACCGCCGCCGACAGGCTTGAGCAGGAGGTGGCCGATGCCGTTGCTGAGGTGCGGCAGCTGCAGAACGACAAGCACGAACCGTTTTTGCGCAGCGCTTCTCAGCTCCTCGACAAAATGGATGAGGCTGCCTGTGCGCGCTGGAAGGTGAAGGCGTTGGCAGAGCTAACAGCGCTCGCTTACCCACCTTCAGAAGGACAGGAGTAGGACCAGTTGCTTGATGAGAGCTTGGCTGTGTTGGAGTTTTTTTTTTTTTTTGTCTGGTACCGTGCAGACCAGTGCATTAATCAGGGATTGGCTGTGCTGTTTGAGTTTTTTTTTCCGGTGCCGTGCAGACCAGTGTATTGATCAGAGATCTGCTATGCTTTTGAGTTTTGTTTTGTCCGGTGCCGTGCAGACCAGTGTATTGATCAGAGTTCTGCTATGCTCTTGCAACGATTATAAAGCATCTTTATAATCGTTGCATCTTTATCACCTTAACCCTCGCATGTGTAGAGGGTCGGATGGACCTCCGCATGGTTTTTCGCGAATAACTCGCGCAAAAAGCGGTTGATCGCGACGAAACTTTCAGTACCCTCGCATTGATCAACTTTACACCTACCCTGAAAATTTCATGACCCTGACCCAAGTGACCTTTGACCTGTGACCTATTTCTCGAACCCATGTTTGACCGGAATCGCGATTCGGCGTATGTCGGCTCACATTTGCCGCGCGTTTGCAAGCTTCTCGTGGTTTCAAACGTTCAGACATGTGATTCGATGTTGCTCCCATGCATTAGAGTGGATGTCAAGGTCACCTGAAGGTCAGGTCAGGTCATTGACCTTTGGTGACCTCGGTTCACTTTTTCGAGTTTTACATGTTTCCAGGCTAGTTTGTTTCCGCCTGTGTTTGCTTCGCTGCACAATATAAGTGCGTTAATGTTTATCTCGACTCTACGGCCGACGGCTACCGGGATCATAATAATAATTTGTAACGGTATGTTAGTAGAAATGTTAGGCGATGATTTTCTTAACACCATGACGTCGAGTATATTGCCCTTCAGCTGATGCACAACAGGTCCGGACGCGGCAGTTTGGTGCGACACGATCACAGCCCAGCCCCAACAGGAACACAGTCGACACGGCGCACGGACATCACAGCCTCCACGGCGGAGGATCGGCGCAGCGCGAGGAAGGACGGCAGGGCGTTCCAACCCTCTAAGCACGGCTGCGTCACTGACTCACTCTCTGACACCAGCGTAGCTATTCTGCCACGGCACCGCCCCTTCGTGAAGGAAGTAGCTGGCAAACACATTGCGCCAGTGCACAGCTGCCTGAGAGTGGTTGTTGGAACCCACGCGATGGTGTAGAGGCTGAAAGGCTGACAGGGTAGGAAGTGGCTCAGGCTCGTCAGGTATGACGCGCTCTGCGCCTACACTCATGGTGTCACGGCGAAGCAGATTGTGTAGCACACAGGCTGCTCGCACCACGCGGATGGCGTTAGCTGGCTCCATGTGCAGTGGTTTCAGAAAGCACCTGAATCGTTGAGCAAGAATGCCAAACGCATTTTCTACGATGCGACGGGCACGTGACAGTCTGTAGTTAAAGATGACCTGTTGTTGGTCGGATACTTGTGCACCTGGGAACGGGCGCATCATGTAGGTCTTGAGGGGAAAGGCCTCATCGCCCACCATGACATGTGGTACGACGACCTCTGTTCCTGGCAGAGCTTTCGGTCCCGGTATGCCCAAAGTGTTTGCCTCGAGTCCCTTCCCTAGATCTGAGGTCATGAACACCCTGGCGTCCGACTCCCGGCCCGCACTCCCGATCGAGATCCACCGGAAACAGTAAAAGGCATCCACGGCGGCCAAAAGGATAGTCGAAAACCGCCCCTTGTAGTTGAAGTATGTGGAGCCGGAGTTCCTTGGACACATCAGGTTAATGTGCTTTCCGTCTACCGCAGCTATGCAGTTTGGGAAATTCCACCGTAGGCGGAACTCCTCTTCGCTGTCTTTCCACATGTCCTCAATAGGATGGGACATGTGGATGGGACCAAGCGTGGTCCAGATGGCGTCCAGGGTCTGGTAAATGCAGTCCCTGCAGGTGCTGGTTCCCATCCGGAATGAGCGGGCGATGGACGGTATCTGGTCTCCAGTCGCCAAGAACCTGAGTGTTACGGCGAGGCGCTCTTCCGGGGAAATGGGTGTCCGTCGTCTGTTGTCTTTGGTCAGGAGATGTCGGATGGATGTCAAAGTCTCGTCGAACAGCTCAGGTGACATGCGCATGTACTTCCTAAATTGCTGAGGGTCAGACTGTCTGAGCTCAAGCAGAAGCTGATAATATTCACTGCGGGTGTTGCGGTGCCTCAGCGCTGCTCGCACCTGCAACAATAAGTAACGCGGTGTTGTGGAAACTTTGATGGCTGAGGGTCACAACTCGCAATACGCCACAAAAAACGCGTTCTTCGTGATTGGCTTGAACTGCTTTAACTTTATTGTGTAGGTAGACACGTACAATTTGTATGTTTCGGATTTATATTACGTACAGTCTGTCTTAAAAGTACCGCGCAAAGTGACGGTGGATCCATCGAGCCTGACTGAAGAAGGGCCTACTAAATTTGGGTCATCGAAGCAATTAACATCCTCGTCCATTTCCTAGGTCAATTGGTCGGTGACTTTCAAATTAAAGCAGGCCCTTTCTCCGTCAGGCTTGGTGGATCCACCGTCACTTTGCGCTGTACTTTTAAGACAGACTGTACATGCGACCTAGGCCCTAGGGTCGCGTTAACTCGCGCCCAGCTGGGGGGGGGGGGGATGATGACAGGGGCGTCGCCACGAATTTTTAACGGGAGGGAGACGGATTGGCTGGCCAAAAACCCAGAAGTTGGTTATTTGTTTTTCAATAGAAAAACAATTCTAAAGAATACTGTTTGTCTAATGAAGAAACAACCTTCGGGTGCCATACCTACTTTTTTGGGCCTATATGCAGTATGCAATACTTGTAACGCATACACATGTCCTTTCCGCGTGAAGGCGTTATTAGACACAGTATCTCTTTTCTTACTTGTATGAATTGGCGGCGCGAAGCGCCCCGAAAACTGGCAAGAACGCCTGGCAAAACAGCTCCAAAAACGCATGAATTTTAGTAGTGGCCCAGTGGGCAGACATGTGCATGGATCCGAGTGATGAATCTATGATCTCAGTGGATCTCGAAGCAAATTACAGGTTGGGGTCTATGATCCCACCGGATCCGGCGTGAAAAATACATCTTGGATCTATGATCTCATATGATCTGACGATAAATTGAGAACATGGATCTATGATCTGAGTGGATCCCACCATGCACCACAGTTGAAACTATGTTTTAACCCGCGCCCTGCTGGGGGGGGGGGTGTTTGAACACCCCCCCCCCCTTGTGGTTTTTCGCGAATATCTCAAAAACGGTTTTTGGTACACCTTATCATACATCAATTCTACACATGTTGTGAAAATTTCAGACCAAGGTCATTCAAGGTCAGGTCACCAGGTCACTTGAAGTGACCTCACCTCATAAAAAGTTTCAATGTCTGTCATAGCTACACCGAGTGACCGATCGCTTTGAAACTTTCAGCGATTGCTAAGAGCAATAGCATGTACAAAATGTATATCTCAGAATTTTGATATCGATGACCTAAGGTCAGGTCAATTTTGCGACCTCCCCATTATTACGGAGCGAGCGAAGCGAGCGGAGTCTTTCCTTAGATTAACGGAAATTTCTGAGTATGAGCGGCCGGCCGGCCGGCCGGCCGGCCGGCCGTGCGGACGCTTTTGCGAGGCTTATATCTCAGCAACCACTTGACCGATTTACACGCGGTAATTTTTGTAGGGTAGCTTCATTCCTTCTACCAAGTATTGGACTATTCCCGATGCATGTGGGTGACCCCTTATGCACGTGCCACGTGCAAAACGAAGAGGTGTCAGTTTTGTAATTGTTGCAATATCTCGGTAACTACTTGGCCGATTGCGCTGAAAGTTGGCATGTAGGTAGGCACCCACTAGGCACTGCATATCCATGTGCCAGAGTTGGGGTGCTGCTGCACGTGCGCACGTGCAGGGGTCGTTTCCAGATCTCGAGAACGGCTGGACCGATGGCGCTCAAATTTGGTACACGGTTAGGGACCAGTTAGTAGGGTGCCGTGCAAAAGTCAGTTGGGACCCATTTTGCACGTGCGCACGTGCAGGGTGCCGCTCCCAGATCTCGAGAACGGCTGGGCCGATTGTGCTCAAATTTGGCACATCGCTAGAAACCGGTCAGTAGGGTGCCGTGCACAAGTCAGCTGGAGGTACCCCCTCGAAATTTCGCACGTGCAAGACTCACCCCCTCGCTCGCTCCGTTAGTCGCCCCAAAAGGCGCTATACTGGTAAGTCAATGGGAGAAAATTGAAATGCGCCTCTTTTGGACGGAGGACATTATAAACACTCCCAAACACCGAATTACAAGTGGTTTAGACACACTGAACATGAAAATGGTGTCCGTGACCCCTGTTTATGCCCTGAGGTCATCTTAGGTCACGAATGGTATCTAACCGTTTTTCGCAAATAACTTTTTGATAGAGGCATGCTAGAGCGATGAAAACGCCTTATATATGTTCAGCTCGACGATACGGATCGACTGATATGCAATATGACCCTTTCCGGTCAGGTCATGACCTTGACCTGAGGTCAAATTTTCAAGTTGACCTTTCAAGGTCAAGTTATAGTTCGTTCGATGCGTGTTGACGAGAGGAACACGATGCCGGTGAAAGTAAGCTCGTACAAGGCTTGGGTCAAAAGTTATTTCAGAAAAACTGTTTCCGAAAAAATCGGCTATTTTTGCAGTTTTTGCCCCCTGCAGGCAAAACCGTTGACGTTAGGTCAAATCTGAGATAATTACTCAGAAAGGGCGTTAATAGGGCTATCGAATGCACTTTTCCGCGGCGCTGTAGCTCTATTGGTTCCCGAGTTATGCATTGGCTTCTGGGAAATTTTCGACATTCGACCTGGAAATCGGCGAAATTTTGCCTTCAATGACCTCTGGTGACCTGACCTTTGACCTGACCAAAAAATTGACCGAACTGATTTCGTCATTATTTTTTTACGCTCTTTCGAACGCCGCCTTCTGCGTATCGCTACGTGGCCCAGGAGCCGAGTTACAAGGGGGGGGGGGGTGTTCAAACACCCCCCCCCCCCAGCATGGCGTGGAAATCCAGGACCCCCAGCTGGGCGCGGGTTAACACGCGCAGTGGAAGGGGGGGGGGCGGATTTCGCCCACCCCTCCTGTTTTTCGCCAATAACTCGCGCCACAAACATAATATTAATGTGAAATTTCGGCTACCTGTCCAGAATTGAATTGCGGAACTTCTCGTGCAAGAAATATGAAAATCAGTTCACAACTTTTCTAGTAATAGCGGTGTAAAGTCAAACATCCTGCCGCCGCGGCGGGCGGCGGCCGCGCCGGCGCTAGCCGTTACGCGCCGCCTGAATTGTAGACTGTGCCGGGGCGGGACGGTTCCGTCTTTACATCGCGCTCCTCACCGCTGATTACATTAGATTCGCGTCAAATTCGGTGAGAAGACTGAGAAATGTACGGGCAATCATATGGTCAAAAAATTTTGAAAATCGGCCGGTAACAACTTGAGTTATGAGTGTGTAAACACAAAATTGTGATTGCCGCGTTTCCCGCGTCGGCTGATCCCCCTTCAGCCGGCGACATCTTACCCTCAGCAGGCCTCTAACTGCCATATTTATTGTTGGATTATCTAGAAATTCACCATACATGCTCACAAATGTTTGTTCTTTCGAATAGTGAAAGAAAAAAGAAAATCGGCCAGTAACTTTTTGAGTTATCGGCGTGTAAACGCAAAAAAAATCGCTCATATGGCAGATTTGACCACATTTGACCTCATTTGACCTTGAAGATATTGACC